CTTTTGACCTAAGGCATTCTCAAAGGTTGAGATGACATCAAAAAGAGCAATTGGGAATATCTCTCTTGTCATTCATGGGAGATTTTCCCAATATGTGGTGGTGTTCTGTGGGTAGGGATGTGGGAACTGTTTGTGGGTAGTATATATGGAAAGCTTGTCAAGCCCCTTTTTGGTTGTATCTTTTTCAACATCTCCCACATGTATCTAGTCTCATATTTTTCTACCAAAAAAAATCATATTTTCTTAAGTTATCTTTCTTTTAAAATACCCTTAGGCAATTTCAGTGCACTAAATCCTTTTTTATTATACAGGTGTTAAGAAAAGAAGGAATACTATATCAAGTTTGGGGTTTAGAGAGAGTATACACATATTTGGTAATGGCATGACCCTCATCCTATTTACCTTTATGAGGGGTAAGGGAGAAAGAGAGCACAAAATGATGAAACATGCACAAAAAGACTCTTGAAATTGGCTATCGAATTTGATATGTGCCAATGAACTAAAATCAAACGATCCAGTAGGAGAGAGACAATCTTTTCTACATCTCATTTAAGCTAAATAGGAGTTTAAACCCAATTCACCAACAAATTTCAAACCCTCGAGGAAAGGATGGGCTTCAACCAATTCATGAGGGCTATTAGAAATGTTCATAGATGGTGCCATGAATTATCTAGTAGAGTATCTAATTATTATGCATGCTTTGAATCTATATAAGGTTAAGCCATCATCTACATTAATCTTAAGGCAATCTACTCGGGTGGGGACTTATCGGTTCTTGAATGAAGTAATGGAAAGTTCTATAGAAGTCCACATGTTGAGCATTGGCTGCCGCTATTTTAAGGAGAGTGAAACTGAATTCGAATTTCGTCATCGTCCCCACTAGGGGTGGATCTAAGCCAAGCCGAGCCGAATAGTATGAGGCTCGAGCTTGGCTTGCCAAAGTAATACAAGGCTCGAGCTCGAGCTCGAGAGCTAGAACCTTGACCTCGAGCTTGATTTTTGAGAAAAAAACATTTTATAAAAATAAAAAATTATATATAAAATATTTTTTATTTGATATTTAAAAAATTAAAAATTATAATAATCAAGAATTATAATATTTTTATTATATATATTATTTTCTCCCTCTCTCTCTCTCCCTCTCTCTCTCTCTCTCTCTCTCTATATATATATATATATATATATATATATATTCAAGCTCGGCTCGTTTATTGATCGAGCCAATAAATTGGACTCAAACTTGGCTTGAAGCTCGGCTGAAATCGAGCCGAGCTCGAGTAGCTCATCAAGAGCTTGGCTCATGGCCACCCCTAGTCCCCACAACCTTTTTAGTTGTGTTTTGGGAAAATCTTTCCATGAATGAAAATATAAAATATGGAGATATTCCTGATGCATGACCAACAATGTTGTAAGGATGGTGTAAGGTCCAACTTTGTATGGACGAATCCCAATCTCGTTGAAACTCCTTACCTAAGATGTTAGTTTGTATTTGGTTTGATGGGAAATTAGAGAGAAATTCTTTAAGAACTTTTTTCCTCAAAGGAATTGTTCAACAACCTAAAAGCACAAGTTGTTAGGTGAGGTCCCTTAATGGGTTTTTATTCTACAACACTCCTGCTTTCCTCAATTTTGTTTGTCTCTTATTTTCTATCAAACCAAAACAGCCTTTTGGTTCTAACAAAAATTCAAAATATTAGTGTTGCATATTTCATGAATAAATTTGAATATGGACATACACTTCGGATACAATAAAGAAACTTATAAATCCCACAAGTACATTAATATTGCTAAATTATGGTTGAAGTGACTATGAATAATGCATAAACACTTAAGAAACTTTAATAATTTATATAAAGAGATTCATTACAATAGAATAGAACATATAGATGTCATACAATGATTGTACGAGTAATCAATGTTTAAAATATTGACGTACACGAATCATGATACACAAATTACATGTCATTCATTTCAAACAAGTTATACTTTTGCTTTTTTTTTTTTTTTCTAACATGATAATTGATAGATGAGCAACAAAGGATGGGTAGTAACATTTGAAACCACTAAAATGTAAAAACTCTCAACATTTATTGTATCAAGGAGTCTCTGATATAATGTACATGATACAATGCGATACACATTGATACTTTCAATCTATTAAAAATTTTTGTCAAACAATGAGTTTAGTAGATCATTGATAAATTCATCTTATAATTATTTCCTCTAATGAAAATCATTTAAATATAAAATTTATTAATATTAAAATACTTTGCTATCCAAAACATACCTGATCTCACATCCAAACCACGATTATTTTGGTCCATTTATTTTTATCTTCCACTATGTTTTTTTTCTCTATCATATGCACGTGCAACTGAATATAATATAATAGATTTCATCAAGGTTTTTAAAATTGATTCGGACAATGAACCGGTTAGGGGTCCGGTTCCTGGGTCAAATAGTCCAATCGTTTGAATCGAACGATTGGTCTGTTCTGATAAAAAAATTAAAAAAATAAAAACGATCAAAACCATTAAACGGTTCAACTACCCGGGTCAGCGGTTTATTGACCAAATCAACATTTTTTTAGCAAAAATCCGGTTTTAAGAAAAAAATGGAATCAACCACCTGATCGGTTCTCGATTTTTCCGATCCGACCGTCCAATCCGATCCTGTTTTGAAAACCATGGATTTCATCAACATGATACGGATTAATTGGCTTGAGATTGCCCAATCTCATCGAGTTTATCTTCGCTTAATCCATGAAGGAAGATTTACAGACACGTAATCAAGTTTTAAATCAGCTTGGAAAAAAGTAAACTATAGACTACCATCCTATAAATTAGGGGGTTATAGTACTTTAGTCCCTACTTGTATAAACGTTTTGATTCCAATACCTTACCCTTGACTCACAAAAGATGTTCATAGGACTGTAATGTGCATGTTAAAAAATTTGCCCTTATATCATTTTTTGTGAAATCATTTTACAGAAAATTGATAAAATAATAAAGAAAAACAAAAAACAAGGGAAAAGTAAGAAATTGTAAAAAATAGAGGAAATACAACAAAAAATGAAGAAGTGGAAAATACATAAAAACGAAAAACTGCAGAAAATACAACAAAGAAAAAAATATAGAAAAATAGGAAAGTACAACAAACACAAAATATTGTAAAAAGAAAACTAAAAATATAATAAAAAGATGTGAAATGTACGTAAACACACGATGCAGAAATCTGAATTCCAGCCCCCCCTACAACTAGCCCTTTCCCCTATAAACGACATCCTTCCCGTGAATTTAGCATCAATTAGCGGTCAGGATACATTCCCCCTGTACCCTAGTAAATTCTGATATGGGCTGATTGGTACTTCTCCCTAAAAAGATACCATGCTTTAACATGACTGTTTTTGTTATTTTTGATATTTTCTTCTTTTCATTTAACTTTAAATGGACATCTTAGTAATTTTTACCTTTACTATGAAATAAAAAAATCCCGGGGCTATTTAATTTATAAGTAAAATACGAAAATCTCCCCTGAAATTTCTGATAATCATAAAACCTCATTTATAATTTCATTTTAATAAATTCCTCCCTTGAACTTTTGAGAAATTCAACAAAAACTTCCCTTTCTTATCTTCCCAAATGGAAAACATTAGACTGGTGCACCAGTTTTTTTCCAAATACCCATTCTACCTTTTTATAGATTATTGTACATAGAAAATTATTGAAATAACCCTATTTTAACTTAACAAAAAATGTTTAGAAGATTACTGTTAAAGGAGGTTTTTGTTAAATTAAAACATGATTGTTTTAGAAAATTTATATGTAAAATAATTTATAAAAGGGTAGAATGGGTATTTGGTCTATCAGTCTAAGTTTTTTGTGTAGGAAGGTGAAAGAAGGAGGTTTTTGTCGAAATTCTCAAAAGTTTAAGTTTAAGGGAGGTATTTTTTGAAATAAAATTATAAGGGAGGTTTTTATGATTGTCAGAAATTTCAGAGAGGTTTTTGTATTTTATCCTTAAAAGGTGATTGGGTGGACGCAAGCATGGTTTTTAAAACCGACCCAGAGACCAAACCGATCAGGGCTCTGGTTACTGGGTCGACCGGTCTGACGGTTCGAATCGAACAGTTGGCCCATTTTGATAAAAAATAAAAAAAATTAGAAAAAATAAAAAAAATAAAAAATGGTCAAAACCGTTCAAACGGTTCAAACGACTAACCACCTGGGTCAGTGGTTTGCTGATCAAAATCAACGGTTTTTGGGAAAAACGGAACCGGTCATCTGACTGGTTTTCGGTTTTTCCGGTCCGGTTTTGAAAACCATGGACGCAAGCGTCCTTCGTAAGTTCGTAGAATGAGGAAAATGTTTCCCTGACTCACAACTAGACCTGTTCATGGGCCGGGCCGGGCCGGGCTCGGGCCGGGCTTTGACTCTTTATTAATAGAAAACTGTTAGGCCCGAGCCCGAGCCCGGCCCGACCAACGGGCCTACAATTTGGGCCGAGCCCGGCCCTGATGAAAAGCCCGAAGCCCGAGCCCGAGCCCGAAGCCCGATCTAATAAAAGAAATTTAAAATTTTTTGACATTTTCTATTTTAATTTAAATGTTTTTTCCCCTATTTAAATGAACAATGGATCTACAAGTGAATCAATGACCTCAAATAAAAAAATTTATTCAAATAGACATCACATAGGGTTTTTACTTAGGTTTAACTATAGGTCGGGCCGGATTTACTTAAGTTTAACTATAAGTCGGGCCGGGCCGGGCTCGAGCCGGGCTATTTTAGCAAAGCCCGAGCCCGGCTCGAATTTTATGCGGGCCGGGCTTTTTAGCCCGAGGTTAAGCCCGCGGGCCAAAAATCCTGTTCAAGCCCGTCCGGGAGTCGGGCCGGGCCGGGCCGGCCCGTCGGGCCACCCGGCCCATGAACAGGTCTACTCACAACGAATCGTGCCTCCAAATCCCGGAGCCCAGATACAAGCCCAGCCCAAATTGAGTTAAAGGCTGTCGATAGATTTTCTTTCCTCTCCTTGATCGGTTCTGATTCTGGTTGGAGGGAGGGTTTCCAAAGCTCTTCAACGGGAGGCGGGAGCTTGAAAACGCAAAGGGTGGTCTTCTTCTCCGCTCTCCGGCGGCCCAAAACAGAAGAAAGAAGTAAAGAAGAAAAGCGGGAAACTGAGGTTAAGTAGTCTGTATCTAAACGTCTTTGCAAATACAGGGGCTTCTTCATGAGCTTTGGTTATGCATATTCGATTTGAAGTCGATTCTTATTTTCAATTTTACGCGAGTCAGCTTGATTTCGTACTCGAGAGTGTAGTTCTGGAGGAGTAATGGAAGTCTTTGTTGCAGAAGATAGAGCACACTGGACATGCTAATTTCTTGACTTGGGTTTATTTTTGACGGAATTTCTCAATGGCATTGTTATTTAAGGTAAGATCTATGGTGCTCTCCCTTATTTATTTGCTAGTGTTATGCGTGTTAATCTGCTAACTCGGTTCCAATCGTGCAAAATGCCGTCTTTCTTAACATTATTGTTTTTTTTTTTTGAAAAAGGCAAAGTATAGTATATTGAAATAAAACCTGATCAAGGTCCTTTGTACAACGAGAAACTGTACAAGACTGCCCACTATGGACCCCCAGAAAAACCCACCTTCAAAAAGGAAGAAGAAAAAGTATCATTTCTAAATACATTATGAGCAGACAACCAACTCTTTAAGAACCCTACTGCGACATTAATCACCACTGCTATTTCTTTCCAGCCAGATGGTCATTGCAGCCGGGATAGATGACCAACACAGCTTCCCTTTCCTTGACATACCCTGGACCTGCCATCCTTTTAGCAGGTCTTTCACTGACCCCGGAGCACACCAACTCAGATTTAGAGTAGCAAGGAAAAAGTTCCATATTGAAACACTGAAATTGCAGTGCAAGAACAAGTGACTGAATGTCTCCAGCTCTCTGCTACAGAAGACACACAACAGATCAGGGGCATTGAAGCCCTTCTTCTCTAGCATGGTCTTTGTCAAACATTTGTCCAACACAGCTACCCAGAGGAAAAATTTTACTTTAGAAGGGGCCAATATTCTCCAAATGGATTTACTGGGGAACACATCCCTTGCTTCTCCTGCAAGTCCCACAAAGAAGGATTTGACAGAGAATTCCCCAGACCTTGTCCGCTTCCAGCATCTTGTATCTTGGGTTTGCGGATTCAGCTGCTGATTTTGAAGGACTTCGAGCAAATGTGCTACCATCTCCAACTCCCAGTCATTGAAGTCTCTCCTAAAGGCTGGTGACCAAGTGACCACATTATTTTCCACCACATAAGAGTCAGCTATTAATGCTGATTTATCTGCAGCCACTGAAAATAGAGCCGGGAAATCATCTTTTAGAGCATTATCCCCACACCAAGGGTCCAACCAAAACCGCAATTTTGTACCATCCCCCACTTTGAATTTTAGGCCTTTAGAAAACTGATCATAAGCTTTGCAGATACCCTTCCACATTGCACGCTCGTAAGACTGGTTAGGATCCAAAGCATCCCACCCATTGCTTCTCAAACCATATTTTTCCTCAATAACCTTTCTCCACAAACTATGTGGTTCGGCAGAAAATCTCCAGAACCATCTTCCCAACAAAGCAGCATTGAACAATTTAACCTTCCTTATTCCTAAGCCTCCTTCTCTCAAAGGTTTGCACACCTGCTCCCAATTGACAAGGTGGTACTTTTTTGAATCATTCCAGCCAGCCCAAAGGAAGTTCCTCATTTTTCCTCGATTTTGTCAGCCACACTCGAGGGCACTTTTAAAATGGATAAGAACTAGGCAGGTAGGCTATCCAAGATACTTTTGATTAAGGTCACCTTACCTCCTTTTGACAGGTAATGAGCCTTCCATGAAGCCAGTTTCGAATCTAATCTTTCAAGGACTGGATCCCACAGAGATTTGGAGATGCACTTAGCCCCCAGAGGGAGTCCCAGATATTTGGAAGGAAATCTTCCCACTTTACATCCTAAGTTCCTAACACATCAGCCAGTTCCTGAATATTTGGCTGCATCAATCCTTGTTCTGACCACATAGGGTTTCCCGTGCAAGTGAAAATATATCATCACTTGTCCTGACCATATGGGGTCTGCTGCATCAATCCTTGTTCTGCCAATTTCTCATTACTTCAACCCATGGTTTTTTTTGGCCTGCTCCTAGCTCCTCTACGAGTCTACCTCTTTCCCTTCAATTTGTAATAGATCACTTCTTCTTATTGGTGCTTGGTACTGTAGATGGTTTTCTCTGCCTGTGGCCAAACTATCTTAGTCTGCCTCTCATTTTTATCACCTATTGGAGCTACTCCCTGGATACTTCCAATAAATTCATGTCTGATCATATCTTTATCAGTTCTTCCACACATCCACTTTCTTCCACAATTTTTTTAGACATGTTATTTCTTGGAAATATTCTAGTGGTCCATTTGTTGATTTAATAGGTGCTCCTTTGGGGTTTGCGCCTGATATTTAAACATGATATATGGACACCCTGCAGTTTTAAACCATCTCTGGTTGCTTTTCGTTTTGAACTTGGTATTTGGAAACATATGTTTATTCTTCTATGGCTTCAGCCTTCAGGGCCAAAGGTGTCTATGCTAGTTGCTAGCAGAGGTGTTCAGAAATGAGCACTTAGTGTGCAAGTCAAAGGGTTTGGTGGGATGGCCTATTAACTAGCTGGTTTTAGTTGGATCAATGAGGAAGCTTGCTTGGGATTTGGTCCATGACAAAGGAACAAAATTGCAGTTAACACATGGGGGCTTAGAAATTTAATTCTTTGAGGAATTCTTTGCATTTTCAAATTAAATATCTGAAAAGGGGGAAAGAGCAATTCCATGTATGGGAATGAGAAGGAAGTTGTCATGTAAATGTGCACACCAGGGAGTGTGTCTCCAACTCAAATGTCTGGGGAGATGCTGAGAAATCAATTCTGGATGTTGGTGGGCTTATCTTATTCTTTGCCCATTTTGGCTCCAATTTTAACAAATCTAGCTAGTATAGAATGTTAGACGCCATATAAAACTAATAGTAATCAGTCATAAGCTTTTTCTTAGGCAAACGAATACACTTGTTGTCATCAATTTTCAGCATTATCAGATGTTGATATGGTTGAATGTAGTTTTATGGTGTAAATGGGAAAAGGAAAACATGATGTTTTCTACTTGTCAGAAAGTGAAAGCATTTTAAGTATCCTCAAATATGGGGGAAGGCAGCCCTCTTAGGTTAATAGAATAAAATTAAATTTTGATGGAAGATTACTAGGAAATCCAGGCGTGTTAGCAATTGGAGGTCTGTTTAGGGATGCTACAGGGAAGTGATGACTTTGTTTTCTGGGCTGATTGGTGTAGGGGGCTCTACAAGAGAAGAAATATTGGCCTTACATGATAAGCCTAGTAAGGCAGAGAGTCCCAAGCCCAGTAAGAAGGAGGTTCCAGGCGAGGCTCTTTAGGCCCATTAGGCCCAACCGAGAACCCAGAACCTCACGAGCGTCACTCCCCCACTTACCTTTGTGTACACGCGTTGCCCACGTATAGAGTAGAGCCAGGCATGCTTAGAGTTTGTTATGGATTGTTATGAGTTGTACAGCTGTGCATTATAAAGGCCAATCACGTATTGCGTAGAAGGCATGAATGAATTAGCCATTATTCTCTCTCGCTATCTCCCTCTCTCTCTCTCTCTCTCTCTCTCTCTCTCTCTCTCTCTCTCTTAAGCTTCCTATAAAACAACCCAATGTTCTTCTGGTACTTTTGGTACTCCCTCAATGTTCCAGTCTGCTTACTCGGGAGAGTGACTCATTAAAGTTCTCGTACCCTGAAGGCTCGAACCTCACATGTAGTGCTTCGGTAAGGTCTAGCCAGGTGGTCTGAGGGTGGGTTTTCCGGTATCGTTGGTACCACATAATGGCTTCTCCATCCATATGTATGGCGGCGATGGAGACCCTCTGTTCTGTGGGGGTTTCATGAAATTCAAAATAACGCTCAGCCCAGCAAATCCAGGGGATAGGATCATCACTTGAATACAGTGGGAAGTCGATTTTAGTAGCCTTGATGGGGTAGAGTCCTCCTCGCCGTATGCCGTTGCTGCTCGATCCTTCCGCCTCCAAGGTTCGGGGTCCTGAAGAGATTCTCTCGAACTTGGCCCACCAGAGCTGAGAGGGTCTCCTTGATTTCCCTTAACTCACTGGTGGTCTGGCGGACTTCCCCTTCTATGCTGTTAATGTGTTCCTCTGCTGACGAGGACCTGGTGGTGGGCATTGTAGCTAGGGGGAGAGAGAGAGAGAGAGGGAGGGCTAATTCATTCATGCCTTCTGTGCAATACGTGGATTGGCCTTTATAATGCATGGCCGTACAACTCATAACAATCCATAACAAACTCTGAGCGTGCTTGGCTCTACTCTATGCTCTCGTGAGGTTCTGGGTTCTCGGTTGGGCCTGATGGGCTTGAAGAGCCTCGCCTGGAGCCTCCTTATTGGGCTCGGGACTCTCCGCCTTACTAGGCTTATCATTACATCAAGGATTTAAACTAGCAAAGCAATGTGGTTTTAAAAATATGGAGATTGAGGGTGACCCAAAATTGGTAATCTCTTGGATGAATGACAGCAGTCCAAGTATGTGGATGTTCAGGCATATATTAAGAGAAATCAAGAGCATAGCAAAGGAATTAGAGGCAAATTTCAGATGGGTAAAGAGAATGGCAAATGGGATGGCTGACTGTTTGGAAAAACAAGGGGTGTATAGAGATCAACTGCTTTGGGCAGATCTGTAATAGGGGCTGTTAAGCTTGAAAAGTATTTAATTTTTTCCTTTGTATCAGAAACACATTGTAATGTTTTTCAGCATGTTTTAAGGAATTGATTACAGATTACTGATAAAAAAATGGGGAAAGGAAACTTATACAAATTTTGAATTCAAATCTGGGGTTTATTTGCTCATTATGATGCTTCACATGAGGAATTATATATCTGCATATAACTAACTTTTATCTTATACCCATAGTTGTCAAGGTGTATAGGTAAATTTTTAGACAATTTTTTGGCAAAATTATTTATCATTTTTTTTTGGGGAAAAATTAGAGTGCTTGGGTGCCTTGGTGTCCCTTGGGTGATTGATTTTAACAAAGGAAAATGTAAATCCTAGGTTAATTCCCTAATTCTATATACCAACTTGCAAGCATATAAATTGAAAAAAGAAATAAGAAGGGACCTTCCTCTTTTATCTCCCCTACCAAAAAAGTCTCAGATATTTTATGTTTGAACAAATGAACAGTAAAATCATATAATAAAACATAGGGGAAAATTATTGATAGTGATAGATTCAAAATTAAGCCGATAGCTAAGGTGGGTATATGAAAGTATTTGTGCCAGTTTTTCAGGGATGGAATTTTCTACCTATCAGGTCCTCTTCTTGCACTAAGCATGGTTAGAGTTTGTTTTGTGAGTAAAATGCCCTCAAATTTATCCAACCATCAAAAGAAAAGCCCCAACCTGATTAAATATTGCTTTTTCTGCACATTTCAAATACTCCATGGTAATTGTAAAACTATTTCTACAAAACCAATGTGTCACACATGACGATTAGTGGCAACCAAGAGCAACATGAACCATCATCCCTAATCTACAATGAACATTCTGTATGCCTTGCTCTGCAACTCATAAATCACTGTTACATCTGAACCCTCCAAAAATTAGGTGCTGACTGCTGAGACAGTGGTCAGGATTGGTGATATTCACTTTTTTCTTCCCCGGTGAACCTGTGATCCTCAGGCATCTCATTTAGCATTTGGCAGGTATGGGGCTCCTATTCATGTTTGTAGGAGGTGTTAAATGCATTAACTATGTAACTTATACACCCTTGCATCCTAAAAGAGTTCTCACATCATGGTTATTTCTCTTCATTAACAGTTTTTTTTTCTTTTTCCGTCTCTTGTTTCTCACCAAAGGTTGAAGTTATGTTTTAAATTATATTATTCTTTTTTGATGCAATATGTAAACAGAACATTTAAATCAAAGGTGGTGATGTTGGGAAATCCAAATAAGTTCCATCATTTAAAAAATAAAACAAATCTGCTTTGTTATTTATTGCACCATTTTGCTTTATAGCATTTAGCACTCTACTCATGGTTTCTACCCATGATAGAGAGATAATTTGGGATGATGTATTGGATGGAGGCACAAACTGAATCAGGTCCATTGCAAGACATGGTTACAACTTACAACCCATGCTCCACTCTCAATCATTGCACTGTACTCATGGTTTCATTTATGTTTACAATCTTATAAGGCAATATAAGATTCAAAAGAAACAATCATTCAATCTCTAGGTAAAACTACTTTACCAACATGACCATTGAACTATGGGGCAACAGTGATGGAATGGAGATTTTGTTGCAGGTTGGGGGTGTAATTGCCAGTACGTTATGTGCTGATATCAGTAGGGACAGGAAAGGTGACAGATAGGGAGAACAAGGGAGTGGGATGGAAAGTTAAGAAATGGTTGTCATTTTCTAGGGTTGTTCTAGATTTCTGTTTTCTGAGAGAGAAGGGAATGTAAGAAAACTTAAAAGGCGAACAATGTAGCAGCTTGGGTTTATCAGTTTGGACTTTAGTTCCAAGTTTTGTAGGTTTCACTTGGTTTTTCTCTCTATGTTTTTTGGGCCTTTTAAACAGTTGGGATAAGCTCAAGTGTAATCAAGTTAATAAAAGTTTCTAATCACATGGGGTTTAAGTTAAGCTACTAGCATCATCATCATCTAAGCCTTATCCCAACTATATGCAGTTGACTGTGTGCCTGTATCCGGTTTCACCATTCCGTTCTATTCAGTGTTTTTTTATCAGCAACGCAGACTTTATTTATTGATAAGATTAAAAAAGCATATGCAACAAGAAGTTGTGGGCAGAAGGATAAGCCCAAGAGAAGAAAAACCACTAATTACAAACCAGCCCAGAACATAGATTGTCTTTGAATGCCTTGTTTAGCTAGCCCATCAGCCATACTGTTAGCTGATCTCCTAACCCATCTAACTTGGATCAACATGTCTTTAGATATCTGCTTGAAGCACCTGAGTTCATTTCTCAGCTTCCATATTACTCCTTCCCCCTTTTCAGCCAGTTTACAACAATCTTTGAATCCCCCTTCAATAATCAGCCTGTTAATCCCCATTTCTTTGGCTTTTTCAACACCATACACTGCTGCCATCAGTTCTGATCTCACCACATCACCATGCTGAATAGGACCTGAGTATATGGCTAAAATATTCCCATTCTCTTCCCTTATCACCCCACCATTACCCGATGGTCCAGGATTTCCCATACAGCTACCATCAAAGTTTAATTTCCTCCAACCAGCCACTGGAGGGGGACCAGACCTCATTTGTTCTGGAATTTCTAGAAGCAGTATTAGCAATTGTTCCCCAAGATCTGAAGAAGTTTCTGTCTTAAAGTCAGCAAACAACTTTAATGTTTTCACCCAATGTGCCACCCTTAGAGATATCGCTTCGATCAAAGTTTCTTTGCTTCTTTCCTTTGTCATAAAAAAACCTTAAATTTCTTTCTTCCCAAATTGTTCAAACCACTGCTGCTCTAGTGCACCTTCCCATAATTCTTCTTCTACTTTTAGAGCACTTGAATGTATGAGAATTAAATAATCCTTCCAGATTAATAGGAGTCGAGCTGCAACCAAACAGAGAGGAAAACCATTCCCAAATGTAGTTAGAAAAAGGACAGGTAATTAAAAGGTGGAAGGCAGTCTCACCGTGTAGCTTCATAAGGAACACCAGTTTGGGGACAAGCACCAATTTGGTCTTTTTTTTCTGAAGCAAATCACAAGTGTTAATGGAGCCATGGAACATTTCTCAATGGAAGGCACTGACTTTATATTCAGTGCTTTATCACAAAAAAAAAAACCATTCTATTCAGTGCAATATCCATCATTAAATATGGGTGCTTAAGTCATTTCTTATTACTTCCACCCAAGCCCTTTTCCAGTTTGCTCCTAGCTCTTCTGGCTCATTCAACTCGTAACATATCACTTTTTCTAACAGGTGCTGTAGATGGTGGAAATCTTGAGTTACCATGTCCTGGAACCATTTTAGGGCTTTGTATATGTATGCATGTATTATGCATGCATGTGTATGCTTAATTTTTTTTATTAGTATATTTTCTGATTTACTTGACCATTGTAGTGTGCAGTTTTGCTTTGCCTGATGCAAAATTTGGCTTAAAGATGATTGCTCAACTATTTTGTATTTGGTTTCTGTTGCCACCTTTTATTAACTCCTTTAGTGTTAATTCTAGGATCCCAGCAAGCTTTCAGCATATCGGGATAGAAGATTTCCTGGTTCACAAGAAGAATTTGAACATGCGCTACAGACTTCTACAACTGTTTATGTTGGGAATATGTCCTTCTACACAACGGAAGAGCAAGTTTATGAATTATTTTCTCGAGCTGGAGAGATCAAAAAAATAATCATGGGTTTGGATAAGAACACCAAAACCCCATGTGGTTTTTGCTTTGTCATGTATGACTTTTTCTCCATAAAACTTACTAGCAGCCTGCAAATCATTTGGAAGATACTAATTGATTTTCTACTTGGAATGCATCTCTAAATGACTTTGAAACTAACATTTTTTCAGCTACATTTGCATATTGATAGTCTAATTCTATAAGAGATTTATTAGCTCTGCTGGATATTTTGAATCTGCTAAAATCGTCTGGTATATTTGGTTTGGCACATAAAATGCATTAAAATGTAGCAGAATTACTAAAAAATTTGCATCCAACCAAATGTGAGAGATAGGAAAAGGTTCTTTGGACAGTTGGGAATTGATTAGACCTCTTTTCTGTGTTTTCCATGAAATACTGTTATTCCCACTTCCCAGTTGCTTCTTGTGCTTCAATCTAGAAGGAATTTAGAAGGTTAGTACTGTATCCAGTTTATCCCTTCCAGGACCCCAGATATCTGTGAACAACATTGGGTAATGGCTTTTAGCATTGATGATAGCCACCACAACCTCTTAGCAATTATGTAGGTGTTTGGCAAGTCTTTTTTGAAAGATCTTCTGGAAGATCTGACAGCCAAAAGACGTAGTGGGCTTGTACATAAAGATCTTGGCAGCCCACAGACTGTTCGGTTGGAGGCGCATCTTTCCGCGTGTCTTTCCGTGCGAAGATGAGACGAAAAAAGGCGAGAAGCTCCATTTCCAGCTTCCTGAAATAAGCTTGAATTGAGCTTCTCACGTCTTTTTGGGGTGCAGTCTTTCGGTGGCTAGATCTTCCCCCAACCAAACAGGAAAAGATGAAAACGCATGCTGCCGGGCTTCTAAACAGCCGACAGCCCGCGCGGAAAGATGCGCCAAAAGGGGCCATAGTTTTTGCCCTCCCCTGCTTCATCCATTGCAGTTGAGGGTGACTCATTTAGAGAGGAGCTTTGCTTGACAATTGGTGGCAGCTCATGGGGCAAATTTTGGACCCTCAGGAATTGAGCTTTTATTTTTTTTGACAGCTAGAGAAGTAACACTATTTGGATTTTCTATGAGCCTATTAGTGGGGGTTACTGAGGCTGAGGAAATGGATTTTTTTTCTTGGCATTTAGGTTCTCACCTCCTAGAGGTGGTCATATCTCTAGATTGAAGGTGATCGAGAAAATGCTATTGGATGGAGCAAAGGCTCTAGAATAGGCCCTTGGAGGCTTCTCTATTTGCTTATTGAGATTAGGTATCTTTTGGGTTCTTATTGTCCCTTCTTAAAATGAACTCTTGTGGATTTAATGCTATATTGCTAACACTTTACCAGGGTATGAGGTAATAAATTTGAAGTACACATAACAGGTCCTCTCTGCATTGAAAGCTTGTATATATAACTACATGCTTGTACAACTTTACATGAATTTTGCTTGCCTTATTTTTGCCTGATGCCTATCTTGTACATTTTAATTTTCTATTTCTATGAATTATACAAATCTTTTGATTGTTGCTGTTCCGCCCTCCTTTCAAAAAGAAAAAATCTTAAACAAAATATATTAGGTAACTTGTTATTGGAGGGTAATTCATTCTACAGGTTATCAACAAAAAAAAAAAATCAATACCATCTTGTGGGAACATATGAAGTTGTATGGCTTAGGAAAACCTCATTGGTTAGGGATATATGACCAGTGTAATATTCTCAAATCTCACTGTAGAAATGACAATGCACTAACTGACCAAATGCTATTTCTTAATTAACAACATTCAGATACAGATTTAAATGCTTTTCATAGGAGAACAATTCTTTGGCAGGGGCTAAATGAAGAAAAAATGATTTTAAAGTTTCTATTTTGTCCAACTGGTCTTTGACTTACATGGTTCTGAATTCCCATTTCTTACTTAATGGATGCACTAGCATAGATGGGGGTTGCATAGGTGAGGAATATTCATCCTAGAACAATCATTTATTTGATTCATCTTTGAATTCTCTTCTCTTGAAGGAGAAAATACTTGCCTTTGGTATTGGTTTTTTCCTGCAAGGGCTTGAGTTGAAGATGGATTTATGAAAGGAATGTTTGTCTTCTTCTTGTATGGTTGTGCATGAATCCAATGTCTTGGCCCCCTGTCGCACCCTTCTCTTGGGCCTGTTCCTGTAGCTGCTTTACTACATGAATGCAATCAAACACTCTTGCTTGCCCTAGCTCAAGGAGATCCACTATGGTGCCTTGCCAGACCAAAAAGGGAAAAAGAAAGAAGTGTTATATCTATTAGTTAGTCTCTAAATTTGGTTTGAATTGTGAACTTTAACCTCTCAATGTTATGAATCATTCAGATAAAGACCTTTTTTTGTTAAGTGAGATAAAGACCATGTTCTGATTTAGTTTTACCATTTTGCATGCTATCTTTGAAAGAAGTTGTTTAGTGCTGCATTTTGATTTTTCTAATTCATTTTATGTTTTGTATCTTCCAAGTTCAGTGCATATAGTTGGGATAGGGCTAATTTTTCTACTTCTGCTGCTGATTACATCTTTTGGATGCTCTACTTGCATGCCATTAGTCCTGGGGTTTCCACTATGTCTTTTATATGCTGCACTTGTATGTTATTAACCTTGGAATTTCCATTTCTGGTATATAGGAAGTATGCATCATTATATTTATATGTATTCTTAGGTTTTATATTTCCATGATTCTAGTCTTGAAATGATGAGAGATGAGCAGTTTATATTGTTTAGTGCTTGGGTGTGAGCATAATCAATGCTGTCTTTTGATAATATATTTCTAATTACTCTAACCTGGTTTTTGGCCTCTTGGAGATGGATCACCTGGTTTAATTATGTAACTTCTTATTATTCCATTTTCAAACAGCAGCCTGCGAGCCTTAAAAAATTTATTTTGTCTAATTATTTAGCATGTTATTCAGATACTACTCTAGGGGTGATGCTGAGGATACCGTTAAATACGTAAGCGGGACAATTCTTGATGATCGTCCAATTCGTGTTGATTTTGACTGGGGATTCCAAGAAGGAAGGCAATGGGGTCGTGGTCGAAGTGGTGGACAGGTTAGGTTAGCTGCTTTTTTCTTGGCTGTATTTATTGAGTGAGTCTACTTTTTCTTATATGGATTTTATCTTTTGTACAGGTGCGAGATGAATATCGTACTGATTATGATCCTGATATCCTTTTGGAAATTTATGAATATATGTTCTTATTTCAAGTTGTTCATATTAACTTCTGAAAGGTTCTTTGTCTTCTGGAGTTGTTGGCCTTGTCTGCAGTTATCATATTTTCATGGTGGAAATTACAATTTTATATTTGAATTTGCTTATTACCAGTATGTTATGCAGTTTCTTTGTAACATGATTGGGAGAAGTTGCAAGGTACCCCCATGTACATTATAGATGCAGTTTAAATGGTTAGTACAATCATGAATTGCTTTTTGATTTGGAGAATGGACTATGCTGTCTGTTAAATCTGCATGTCAGAATGTAATCTACCAACCTTTTATGCTATGCTTTTTAATATCCAACTCATTTCTCTGTGACACTTACATAGGTATTGAATCATAGAACGTTGCCCATTTTATTGATTTCTCTATACAATACTGAGCCTCATTTTCTATTTCAGTGTTCAAAACTTATGCCCTGAAGCCATAGTTGTCAAGGTGATGCTTAGGTGACTAGATGCTTTTCAAAGAGCACCTCAGCCAAATGCCAGGAAAAAAATAGTGTTATGTTCATGGTTAGGCGACTAGGCAGGCACCTAGAAACAATTATATAATAAATAATACTTTATTAAATAAAACAAATAAATAATAGGGTAGAAGACTTAAATATACCTTGAGTTTTCTTAAATTGATTTAAACATACCCTTTTGAGAAAAGAGATTAACTTGATTGAGAGAACAGAGAGTACATGAGATGATGTACAATCAGGCTACACACAGGTTACAAAGGCATATTTCTATCACTGTACAAAAAATCCCTCTGTATACCAGATTTAGCCAAACTATCATCTACAGAGTTTAATTCCCTAGGAATCCAGCAAAGGTTTACAGATAAGGAATTTAACAGATATCTAGTCTCATTTAAATAGTGGGCCAGTCTCCAAGGACCTCCTTCCCTCTCCCCTAACCACTTTATCGTGTTGCTGGAGTCTCCTTTGATTGTTAGATCAGTGAAGCCTAGGTCTCTTGTGATACGGAGCCCCGTTAAAGCAGCTAAAATTTCTGCCATTGTGGAATCTGCAACCCCAATTGGTCTACTAAAGACCCACATAGGGTGACTGTTATGGGCCCGGGCGTAGGATCTCGTCACGGGTCGGTCCACGGAAAAAACTCCTAGCTTTCCCTTGCCCCTCCCTTTGCGTGCAGACCCTATGGTGGCGAACTAGGGGTGATTTGTTCAAGAGATCACYCTAACTCTCCWAAGCTCTTTCTTGATTGAAAACTGAATACCTTTATTTCAATTCCTAGATCCTTAAATAGGAGATTACAAGTGGGGGTTCCTTATTGTATTCGGCTAGGCTAGGATAATCTATCTCTAATCAAACTCAAATTCCTACTTATGGGAAATAAACTACCTACTTCTAATGGTAACAAAACTTCTACTAAGAATAGGAGATAAGATAAGGATAGATGGGATAAGGGATAAGGGATAAGGTAAGTTGGTGGCGAGTTGGCCAGAGATAAGTGTGGGCCCCTGGTGAGCTGTCGCGTGGGCCCCTCCTCAGTGCTGCTGCCGGCGGCGGCGGTGGTAGGTCTTGCCAACGAATGTGTCCATAACATCACACCCCTCCTGGACAACGAGCTTGTCCTCAAGCTCGAGAGCTGGGTAGGCGTTGTGAAGATCAGACCAGGGAATCCAGGTGGCCTCAGCTGATGGCAGTCCGTCCCATTCCATAAGGACTTCGAAGGTACCCCGATTGACGCGTGACTGGACAAGAGTCCGAGGTTGGAGAATGGGTTTGCCGTCCTTCAAGGGGGGTAGGGGAGGTACTTGATTAGGAGGACTCCCTGTAAAAGGCTTGAGTAGGGACACATGGAAGGTATCGTGGAGCCTGCTGTTCTCTGGTAGCTCGAGCTGATATGCAACTTTCCCGATTCGCCGTAGTACCTTGAAGGGCCCGTAAAATTTGGGGACCAGTTTAGGGGGAAATCTGCCTTTGAGAGAGTGTTGCCGATAGGGTTGAAGCTTCAACCACACGAACTGTTCAGGCTCGAAGGTTACTTCTCTGCGGTGCTGATCGTAGACACCCTTCATACGTGTCTGAGCCTGCTGTAGGCGGGAAGTGACTTCCGCCAGGAGGGCGTCGCGATCTTGTAGACTACGATAGACTTCTTCCAGCCTTGTCGAACTGGGTTCGTAGGACAGAAGGCGGGGGGGGGGGGGGTTCCCGGCCATAGACAACCCGGATTGGAGTCATGCCAAGAGATGAGTGATAGGACGTGTTGTAGCAGTATTCGGCCCTCGGGAGGCAGTCCACCCAATGCCATGGCCGGTCACCCACAAAACCACGGAGGTACATCTCTATGGTACGGTTCACGACCTCCGTTTGCCCGTCCGTCTGCGGATGGTAGGCGGATGAAAAAGACAGAGTCGTTCCCTGCAATCGAAAGAGCTCCTTCCAGAAGGTGCTGGTAAAGACCGGGTCCCTGTCACTAATGATGGACTCGGGTAGCCCATGCAAGCGGAAAACATGTGTGAAGAAGACGTGGGCCACCGAAACTGTGCTATATGGGTGAGCTAAGGGGATAAAATGAGCATACTTGGAGAAACGATCTACTACCACGTATAAGACTGATTTTCCGCCGACCTTGGGCAGGCCCTCAATGAAGTCCATGGAGATATCAGCCCAGATCTGTGTTGGAAGTGAAAGNATATCAGCCCAGATCTGTGTTGGAAGTGAAAGAGGCTGGAGGAGGCCGGCCGGGTGTAAATTCTCCCATTTTTGTTGCTGACATATGGAGCAATTTTGGATGAAATCCCGAATCGAGGCCCGCGTACCGTGCCAATGAAAATCGGTGCGGACGCGGTCCAACATCTTCTGATCCCCTTCATGTGTGGCGTTATGAATGCTGGAGATGATGGTGGGAATTAATGGACAATTGGTTGGAAGATATACCCGTCCCTTATATAGTACTAGGCCGTCGTGGATGGACCAGTTTGGTTTGGGTTCTCCAGACTGTATCTCTTGAACCAGGTCCCTCCATGCTGGTGACTGGGGCAGCACGTCCTTAATGCTTTCCAATAGGGCGACGCGGGGCCGGGAGATTGCACAAAGGTGTATAGCATCTTCGTCACGCCTGGACAGTGCATCCGCGACCCGATTTGAAGCCCTTGCCTTGTGGTCTACTCGGAAGTCAAACCCGAGCAGTTTACGTGCCCAGTGCTGTTGGGGTGGAGTGGTAAGCCGCTGCTCTAGTAGGTACTTGAGGCTGTAGTGGTCTGTCTTGATGACAAAAGGTCTCCCCCACAAGTATGGCCTCCAGTGTTGGACGGCTTTGGCAAGCCCAATTAGCTCGCGCTCGTAGGCCGGTAGCTTTAGGTGCCGGTCAGCTAATTTTTGGCTAAAGAAGGCTATGGGGTGCTCTTGCTGTTGCAGTACTTCTCCAATGCCTATACCAGAAGCATCACACTCCACCGTAAGTTCCAGGTCAAAGTTGGGTAATTGCAGCACGGGGGTGGAAGAGAGCGCATCTCTTAAGTTTGTGAAGGCGGCATCCGCTGCTTCATCCCACTGAAATGCGTTCTTCTTCAGCATCTTGGTTAATGGGGCAGCCAAGAGTCCATAATCCTTTACAAACTTGCGGTAGTATCCGGTGAGTCCTAAGAACCCGCGGAGAGCCCTAGTGGATTGAGGTTTGGGCCACTCTCGAATTGCTTGAATCTTGGAACTGTCTACCGAGACACCTTTCCCGCTGATTATATGCCCCAGATAAAGGATCTGTCGCTCCTTGAAGGAACATTTGGCTCGCTTCAGGAAGAGTTTATGTTGGCGCAGCAGTTCCAGAATCGTTCGTAGGTGACGAACGTGCTCCACCCATGATGTATTGTAAACTAGGATGTCGTCGAAAAATACTAGGACGAATCTGTGGAGGTGGGGTCGAAAAACCTCGTTCATCAAAGACTGAAATGTGGATGGAGCGTTGGTGAGACCAAATGGCATGACCAGAAATTTAAAGTGGCCGTGATGTGTCCGGAAGGCTATCTTTTCCACATCCTCGGGGGCCATCCGGACCTGGAAGTACCCTGATCTGAGATCTAGTTTAGAGAAATATTGAGACCCGTGGAGTTCATCTAGCAGTTTGTCTACCACGGGAATCGGAAATTTGTCCTTGACGGTTCTGTTGTTAAGTTCCCTGTAGTCCACACAAAACCTCTAGGTGTTGTCTTGTTTCGGTACTGGTAGGACTGGTGAGGAGAAGGGGGAGCGGCTGGAGCGGATAATTCCTTGTTTCAACATATCCGCACATTGGCTCTCTATCTCATCTTTTTGCAGGTGCGGGTAGCGGTATGGCCGAACGACAATGGGTTCTGATCTTGGAATTAAAGAGATCCGGTGGTCACACGATCTGACAGGTGGGAGTCCCTTGGGGTTTGAAAACACGTCCAGGAAGTCAGCGAGAAGTCTCTCCATCTCTGCGGTGTGCATGGTGTCGCCATGGAGAGTATGCACCTGTGGTCTTTTTGGTCTCACCTTGGTTCCTTTCCATGTGACTTGTTTCCCATGCAGGTTGAAAGTCATGGTCAAAGCATTGAAGTCCCATAGGATAGGGCCGAGAGTGATGAGCCACTTGATTCCAAGCACTATATCGAACTTGTCCAGGGGCAGTACAAATAAATCCGCGAAGAACGGTTCAGATTCAACCTGTATTTGGATATTCCGGCAGATCCCAGGGCTGTGAACTCTCTCCCCATTTGCTACGGCCACTTGAAGTTGCGGTCTGCCTTCCACCGACAGTTTCAATTGGAAGGCTGGTTGCTTGCTGGCAAAATTATGTGTGCTTCCTGAGTTCACCAGGATACGCATGGGTTTCCTTGCCACCTGTGCCTGCAGCTGCATGGTTTGGGAGTTCTATATTCCGGTGATGGCGTGGAGGGAGATCTCAGGTTCCAGTGTTGTATGCTCCTCCTCTTCTTCCTCCAGTTCATCTACCAGGAGGCAGAATAACCGCT